ATGACTGAAGGTGCTGTGGTAAAAGTCCAGTGTGTCATGCAGGGGGTGTGACGTGTTGTTCTGAGTTGGGGGTGGTTGTGTGTGAGTGGTTAGAGCAGTCGTCCTCTAATGCGAGAGTTGGGGGTTCGAATCCACCAGCAGTCACATGCTGAAGTGTCCCTGGGCAAGACACTGAACCCCTCATTGCCTCTGATATGTGTCCCATCGGTGTTTGAATGTCATCTAAAGCTCTGATTAGTCTCTTTAGAATGATTTATTCAATTAGCTTTGTAGAGATCTAGTAGAGTGCTGTATGAATGGGTAAATGAGGCACCGATTGTTGTGTAAAGAGCCGAGTATCTTGAAATAAGATAGAAAGGTGCTATATAACTACAGTCCATTTACCATTCAGGATCTAAAAAGAAAAAAAAAAAAATTTCAGGATCTGGAGCAGTTTCCTCAGCCTCCTCTGCTCAGACACCTCTGTCAGAGACTGCAGGTCCACTCCCAGAACTGAACCAGCTCTCCTCATGAGTTTGAGTCTGTTGACATAATGGGCTATTATTTATTATTGTGTGTAGAATTTGGAGGAAAGAGATTAATTTTGTACAATTTGGACAAAAGCTGTAACATAAAATGCATAAAAAGTGAAGCGCTGTAAATACTTTCCTGTAAATGCAGTTTTTAAACCCATATTTATCATTTGTACTATCAGTTTTTAAATTCTCCCACATGGTGTGGTTTTATTTTTATGTTTGAAAGATGCATTTCTTTCTGTGTTTACCAAGAAAAAAACAAAAACTAACTTTGTTTCAGTACAGGAATGGCTCTTTTCTCTTTTTTCTGCAATGCTCTGCAGCCATACCATAGTCTGTATGAATATGTCCTTGTTTGGCAAACAGAGTTCTCTGCAGCTGCAGCCCAAGTCTCATCTGACAACACACACAAACACAGCAACAGCTTCATGGCACACTGAGATAGGACCTGGCAGGTGTGGGCGACTGTCCCAAAAGCCTCCTCGCTGGATGTTTTTCCATAACATAAAAAACTATAAATTGAGCATCCTGTGGGTGTGGTGGTGGGGTGATGCTTTGTTTAAACTTGCCATTTAATAAATGGTCAATTAAAAAAACTGAATTGTGTAGTATTAAATTAAAATCTATTCATGCATTTTGAGGATTAACCGATGGCATACTTTGTCAGTAAAATATCTCAACCGACTGGGTGAATTTAATTGAAACTCAGAAAATCATCATTGCCTGTACATCTACAACCGACACTGGCACACGCACACACACACGTACACACAACTGTTAATTTTACAGATCTGTGTTAAAATGTGATGGTAGCAGCCGAGAGTCACAACACTGAGTGACACCTTGTGATGCTGCATGACTGCACACTGAAAACACATTTTATTATAGGAGTCACTTTTAGAGTTTGATTTACAAACCGGATTCCAAAAAAGTTGGGACACTAAACAAATTGTGAATAAAAACTGAATGCAATGATGTCGAGGTGCCAACATCTAATATTTTATTCAGAATAGAACACAAATCACAGATCAAAAGTTTAAACTGAGAGAATGTATCATTTTAAGGGAAAAATCTGTTGTTTCCAAATTTCATGGCATCAACAAATCCCAAAAAAGTTGGGACAAGTCCATTTTTACAACTGTGTGGCATCCATCCCCCCCTTCTTCTTACAACACTCAACAGACGTCTGGGGACAGAGGAGACCAGTTTCTCAAGTTTAGAAATAGGAATGCTCTCCCATTCATGTCTAATACAGACCTCTAACTGTTCAATCGTCTTGGGCCTTCTTTGTCACACCTTCCTCTTTATGATGCGCCAAATGTTCTCTATAGGTGAACGATCTGGACTGCAAGCTGGCCATTTCAGTACCCGGATCCTTCTCCTATGTAGCCATGATGTTGCGATTGCTGCAGAATGTGGTCTGGCATTATCGTGTTGAAAAATGCAGGGTCTTCCCTTAACAAGATGACGTCTAAATGGGAGCATATGTTGTTCTAGAACCTGAACAGAGTTCTCTGCATTAATGGTGCCTTTCCAGACATGCAAGCTGCCCATACCACAAGCGCTCATGCAATCCCATACCATCAGTGATGCAGGCTTCTGAACGGAGCGTTGATAACAACTTGGGCTATCCTTGTCCTCTCTGGTCCGGATGACATGGCGTCCCAGTGTTCCATAAAGAACTTCAAATCTTGACTCATCTGACCACAGAACAGTCTTCCATTTTGCCACACTCCATTTTAAATGACCCCTGGCCCAGTGCAAATGTCTGAACTTGTGGAGCTTGCTTAGAAATGGCTTCCTCTTTGCACTGTAGAGTTTCAGCTGGCAACGGCGGATGGCACGGTGGATTGTGTTCACTGACAATGCTTTCTGGAAGTATTCCTGAGCCCATTCTGTTCTTTCCTTGACAGTGGCATTCCTGTTTGGGGTGCAGTGACGTTTAAGGGCCCGGAGATCACGAGCATCCAGTAGAGTTTTACGGCCTTGACCCTTACGCACAGCAATTGTTCCAGATTCTCTGAATCTTTTGATG